TTTTCTGCACCTGCGGCACCATTCCCTCCTTTTGCACCAGGCGCTTCATTGTCCTCACTACCAGCGGCCTCACCACCAGGCGCTGTTTTAACCGTCTTTTCCAATACGGCATTACCAGTTTCATCTCTACCGTCGTCCCCAGCCGCAACCGCCTTTATTAATCCCATTCGCGTAGAAATCAACCCGCAACCCGCCTTCAGGCGCACCCTGTCATTTCCTCCATTATGCGTGTGCGTCAATACGTTCCCATCACCCTCAACGCAGCGGTTGTCCCTTGCAGCTCCAAAAACAGTGAGGCACCACAGCACGCAGAGGGCACACACCAGCAGCACACGGCCAGTCATCATCATCGCCATCGCTCCTGTCACTTGCGTGCAGCCTTCAGCACAAACTAACTCCCCGTCAACGCAGAGTGAAAGCAAAAGAGAAAAGAGAGACAAGTCACACAACCACCGCACAGTAACAAATGGGAGCACCCCAGCAGTGACAAACACACCATGAGGCAGTTGGAATCAGTGAAAGGGCAAAAAAGGCAAATACACAGCCATGCAGTAATTAAACAGAAAAAAAAAAAACAAGAAAAACAAAACAATTAAAAACAAAAGTAAAAAAGCAACAAAAATTTTTAATAAAAGAAGCTGCACCGAATGGCTCCAGTGTGCATGCATCCACACGCAAACAGTTGTGTGCGTGTCGTGCATATGAGTGTGTCTGGGATGCGTTCAACGTGACGGATACAGGAGGCAACAAAATGGAGCACACAGCAGGGCAGCGGAAGCAAATGAAGCAAAACACAATCATTACTTTCTCGTATTTATTTACATTGGAACACAGTAGACGCATACAAATCTCCGTGGTTGAGTGCTGGCACGCACAGCCCGCATACACCTCTTCAGCCCACAGTGGTATATGCCAGCGCGGATACGGCAAGCAGCAGCGGGGCACACACCCACGCAGAGCTTCTGAGGCTGCCGTCCATTTCGCGAAGACGTGACGGTGCGCGGGTGGTCGTAATACTTGGTGCCTCGGTGGTGGTTGTGGTCGTCGTCGTTGTTCTAGTGGTTGTCGTGGTGGTCGTTGTTGGTGCGGCGGCCTTCTTTTGTTCATTTGCAGTAACGGTATTCGTATGTTCTCTCTGTTCATTAGACTTCCCACCATCTTGACCCTGTGTATTATTGGAAGTATTTTGTGACTGTGGCGTTTTGCTTATTGTACCCGTTACCTGTGACTGTTCCTCCTTCCTTTCCTCCTCCTCTCTTGTCTGTGGCGAAGGATGAGCTGCATCAGGCGATTCCGTTTCCTGAGCTTGTTTCCCTGGCGAAGACGTCGTTGGACCGGAACCTTCTTCATCTTCATTAGCATCTGTCCCGCCCACTGACGGGCAGCAGCACAGGGCAAGCACCAACAGGGCGCACAGCAGACGGCACGTCGTCATCATCGTGAGTGTGGTCGTTCAGTGGTGTGGAGCTGATCTGCACAGTGAGGGACATGGAGAGCAACAGGGGAGACGAGAGGTGCGGCAGACACACACAGAGGACACACCACATGAGGAGAGGGCAGCAGCCAGGCATGCACCGTACGCCGCACACCACGCACGACACACTCCAATCCACGGCAGCAGGCACACACACACACAGCCCTGCCGCAGCACCAACACACACAGATGGAGGAGGGGGAAGTAAACAGGAGCGGCACACAAGGCTCCACCGCATGCACATACGGCGAGAGCGGTCCGTCGTGTCGGCACCCCTCACGGAGGGTACGCACACACACAAGAGGAGGTGCAGCGCACACAGCAACACAACAGCAAAGTAACAATGGAAAAAAAGAGATCCCCGCACACCACGTGGATTGTTGGCCCACGGGAAGTGCAGCCAACATTCATCAGAAAAATATGTATATATATGTATATATTTTTTTTACTGTTTGTTGTATGCTGTTAAAATAACGAGTGAGTAGCGCAAGGGCCTTCCGCAATAAAGTGGCAAGTATTCCCTCGCAAACGGCCGTCGTGCACGCTGGGGAGTCCAAAGAAGTCGCAGTCCTTATTCTCAACGACGGGGCATTACCGCAGTGGATGAAGCGGAGTCTCCCGTGGTCCGTCGGGGATCAGCGGCACGTGGCGTCTGTGATGTGGCGGTGGCGGAAGCGCCTGTTCTATCTCGAGTGTCCGCGTTTGTGCTTACTGCGTGTCTTGCCTGCTGGCGTGCTTGGAAACTTCGGGGGCGACCTGCGCTTCAGGCGCCTGTTAGGAAGACGGTGGCGCCATTGCGGCATGCAAAGTTGAGGCCCTCTCCCACTATCGGAACGCCAGGCCGAGCATGTTGGGCATGTGCCGTCATATTGTGGACGGAAAAGAAGACGCCGCAGATTGGGCGAGAGGACGTCAATCCGCCGCTCGCTGGTCGGAAAGGATTTGCGGCGCTCACGTCTGGAAGAGGTTCCGGCGGAAGCAGAGGCGGGCCGGTCTCCTCAGTGAAGAAAGGACGGCACCACCGACACAGGGTGTTACTTATGATATGCAGGGCGTGCGCTGGCCCGTCGAAGAGCGGGCGGGTGTCGCATCTGCGCGGTGCCGCCACTCGGGGCACGATGCCCGGGTCGTGCCAGGAATGGAGTTCCGCCACGCCGACAAGCGCCTGTCATGCGGTGTGCACGACTTCTTCTTCCTCGACTTCCTTCCAGTACAACCTCTTGACGGCGGCAAGGAAGTCCACGTGCCAGATTTTGATGCCTCATTGCTGCAGGGATTGTGCAATCGTGCCTTCTTCGTTAGCGGTCTTATTGCGTGGGATACCGCAGTGCGATGGGGTAAATATAAATTCTGCAGGGTGAACTCGCCTCACCAAGGAAAGCAGCATAACCCAAATCCCTTCAGCAACGCAGTCTCGCACGGCCATTGGGGCAACGCGGAGTGCCTCAATTGCCGAAAGAGAGTTTGTAGCAACCAGGACTCGTGTGGGCGATTGGGATGTTTCCAGACGAGGAGGTATGAGATGTCTAAAGCCATTTTCAGTGGCAGGTCACTCTGCTCTATATGAGTGTGCGAGTCTGCCAGCTGCTGCACGATGGACCTCCACAGGGAGATCATTTGTCTTTGTGGGGCCGTATAATGGTGCAGCGGATCCAGATGCGAGTTCAGCGAGGGATGAAGAACCGTCTGTCCATAATTTAACATTATAATCTTCTATAGAGGAGTAAAGGGATTTAAAAGCCGTGCGCTTGACACCTTCAGAGGCGTCGTTGGCAAAGCGTGGCTGATAAAATTCCACTTTATTGCAACCCACAGTGTCGCAGGGAATGATTCGATGTTGGGTAATAGGAGGAGCGTGATTGTGGTTGTGTGGTATCCAAATAGTGCCACATACGCGTTCTAATCCATTAATAACGGCATCTTTCGGAAGTGGGATTGATGTCGCCGTCCTCTTATGCATGGACAGCGGCATAGGTTCCGAGTACATAAGGGAGCGCAAATCCTCGTGATTATGGAAACGTGCATGGCGTTCGTGTTGTGTGGTTTCACGGAGCCAGAGTATCTTCCGGAGCGTGAGAAGATTGTCTTCCAAATAGACAGATGTGTCTTCCGTAGATGCGCTTAGGCCAAGGGATGTTGTACAACTGTTGCTGTACAGTGCTTCCGTATTATGGAGGCAGGTGTGGGCGAGGCATGGGACAATTGCATCACCACTATATAGTGACACACCATGGACGTATCCAATCGAAAAGGATCGCATGGTGTGATGGGACGCACCAGCCTGTGCGACCAGTCGCAATTGGTAACGGCGTGGCATGGACTGCTTTGCAGCGGTGGAAGCGTGCGTACGAAAATTAAGAAGTTGTTCAACCGTGGTGTCCAGCAAGCGCACTGGGCGGGACTGAATACGTAGTTTCCCGCTACCAAGATGGAGATCGACCATGTCCTTGTCAGACCGTGTGTGAAGAGATGTGGAATAGAGCGGCTTCGCTCTTATCAACGTTGATTTTTGGGTTGTGCTCGGCAGCCCATGTCGTTGTAAGTGACAGGGCGGGTTGCATTGCCGCAGCACATGCATGGATGCCCGCACCTGAGGCAACTAGTGTGAGGTCGTCAGCGTACATGAGTGCGGAGGCAGAATAGCTGTTCTCCAGGCGGTGCAGCACATCATCCACACAGTGGAGGAAGAGTTGGGGTCCCGGGACGCTGCCTTGCGGTGCTCCGGCTGAGGCGAGTTGTTTCCGGGAGTGCTGTTCGCGAGTGCATACCCTAACATAGCGGCCCGCAGGTAGTTCTGCAGCCAGCGTTCGGGTTTGGGGCCAAGGCGCTGAAGTCTGTCAAGCATGCCGAATAACTTCCCATGGTCAACGGTGTCGACCGCAGTCGAAAAATCAATCAAGGCTACGAGCGAGCGATGGTGACGAGGATGCCGTGTGGGGGCGCCGCCTCCAGGGCGCTCATACTCCACAGTGCTGAACTTATTCAATCCACGGGCGATTTCGCCAATAAAGAGTGTCACCACGTCCGATGTTGAACGCGAAGGTGTGAACCCGAATTCACGTGGGTGGTGCGGCAATAACGCTGACAGACGGCGATGAATCATTCCTTCGGTTAATTTTAGTAAAACAGAGAGTAGCGTGATAGGTCTGTAACTCTCTGGGCGGAATGGCCCTTCCCAGGTTCGGGAATGGGAATAGTGTCCACCGTATTCCAGGAGCCGGGCAGGCTGCCATTTGCGAGGAGTTGTGGATCATCGTTCTAAGAGTGCCACGTGCGACGGGCCCGAGATGGTGCAGGAACTCATTCAACATTTTGTCGTGGCCAGGGGCTGAGCCAAGCAAAGAGTCGCAGATGGTCACGTCAAGTTCATACGGCGTGAGAGGCCGATCCATTTCCCAGTAACCAGGGGGCAAGGGAGTGCGGCAGCAGCAGCAGCAGTATAGGGTAATGTGGCACGTGAGACCCGCACAAAATGATGGACGAGCAGATTTGCCTGTTGCCGAGGTAGAGCACAGACGCGGTCCGAGGATCAGTTCGGAGCACAACCGATTCCAGGGGATGAGGGTGCGGCGCCGCCATGCCGCGAAGATATCGCCAGCTTGGGCTGGGTGAGGCTCCAATTTTTTCGCGCGGTCTTCCAAAAGCATAGTGAATTCACGGCGTAAGGCTTGATTTTATTCCACCACTTTTTGGATGAATTCGGCTCGAAGCAGGCTGTCTCCTGGTGAGGCGATGTGTGTGCTTTGTGTGATGCTTCTGCGACGGACTCGGCTTGTTCCATTTTGTTTGTCCAGATTGTTTTGGGCTGTCACGGCTGCCGCGCGGGATATGGCGCTCAGCTGCTCGTACGATACCACTGCGAATGTCCAACCATGTGGACGCGGTGGCAGGGTGTGTTTCACACGAGGTAAAAGCAGGCCAATCCGCCTTACGCATGGCAGAGGTGGCTTTCTCCCGCCGAGGCAGCGTGTTGGCTATTCGCGGAATGGCATCATCCATCCCTACCGAGTAAGATATTAAGCAGTGGTTCGAATCCATGTAGGGGGTTGATTGCCAGTGGGTGACACGTTGTACGCGATACGCAGCCACTTCAGGGGACGAGACATTACGATTTGTGCTCCGTGTTGCCTGCGCCGGGTCATTTGCCAGCCCGAAATCATGTCAATTAGAGTAGAGGACAAATCCTCTCCTCCAGTCGTTGAGGGTAGGTGTCTGTCTCAGAGTCCATGATGTAAATTCAGTTCACCCGCGATAATCGCTGCGGGGCCTAAGCGACGAATGGCAATAATAAACGAAGAGCTCTGAACGGTTGCTGTGGGAGGGTTGTAGAGATTCACCACGCAGATGCTGGGGCAGCCTGGTGGAAATACACGGACAGCAATGGTCTCCAGGAGGTCTGTGCCAGGGAGCGTCAGGCGCTCGCACGGCAGAGAGTGGCGCACCAGAGTGGCAACGCCACCAGCGCGCCCAGTGCGGGCCTGAAGGTAGTTATTATGGCCATATAGTTTTGCCGCTGTGGCACTTCGAGTATTTGTTTTCTGGAGAAGAACGATGACAGGTGGATGCTGCTCCAGTCGCACAGCAGATGCATTCTTTTTTACGGACGAGAGGTCTGCAATGTTAAGCTGCCAAATAGTGATGAAGCCATCCTCCTCGGTGCCAGGGTTCTTGTGGACGTCACCGCCACGGGTGATATCAACGGAGTGACCGCAGCGAAACGGTCGTGCAGTTTTGTCCGACAGTCTGCAGGCAGACCGCTTCACCTCCCCACACCGGGCATGGCGTGGAACCTTCTCGAGGGGTGAAGTTGTCTTGGTCTCCGTCGTGCTCGCAGCAACGCCCTGCTGCGGAGTTCCTATACGCAACGAGAGCCCCAGCACCGCGACAAGGTGCGACTTCATCGCTGGGGCTTACCGAATGTTGTCAAGGACATCATTTTAATTCTTTTTCCTTTTTTTTTTTTT